GTTTGCTGTTTGTCTTCTTTATTTGTTGGTTCCTTGCCTTTTAGATAAACGTTTTTTTTCTCTTCACTGTTGGCATTTTTATTTTTACTAGTGGATTTTGATTTTTCTTAAGTTTTTATGGCAGTGGTAGTTATTTTTCATGTACGAAACCCAGTACTCCCTTGAGAATTTCTTGTCAGGGTTGTTGTGTGGTAGTGAATTCCTGAAGTTTTTTGTTTGTCTGTGAAAAATGCTACTTGCCCTTCATTTCGGAAGGATAGCCTTGCGGGATAGAGTATTCTTGTCTGGCAATATCTATCTTTTAGTATTTTGAATATATCATCCAATTCCTTTCTGGCTTTTAGGGTTTGCGATGAAAAGTCTGATGTTAGTGTGATTAGGGCTCCCTTATAGGTGATTTGACACTTCTCTCTTGCAGCTTTTAAGATTCTCTCTTTGTCTTTGAGTTTTGCCAATTTGACTATAACATGTCTTGGAGAAGACCTTTTTAGATTGAATACAGTTGGGGATCTTTGAGCTTCCTGAATCTGAAAATCTATGTCTTTTCCTATACCTGAGAAGTTTTCTGCCACTATTTTGTTGAGTATGTTTTCAATGCAATCTCCTTTTTCCTGCCCCTCTGGAATACCCATGACTCAGATATTTGAGCACTTAAGGTTGTCTGATATCTCTCTTAGATTTTCTTCAATGTTTTAAATTCTTTTTCTTTCTTTCTTTTTTTGGTCTGCCTGTTTTATTTCAAACAGCCCATCTTCAATGTCAGAAGTTCTCTCTTCTGCTTCTGCAAGCCTGCTGGTTAAACTCTCTGTTGTGTTTTTTGTTTGGATGAATGAATTCTTCAGCTCGGCAAGCTCTGCTACATTCTTTTTCAGGGCATTGATTTCCTTGTACATTTCTTCTTTCAGGTCCTGTATGCTTTTCCTCATTTCATTGTGTTGTCTAGCTGAGTTTTCTTGTATCTCATTCAGTTTTGTTAGAATTATCACTCAAAATTCCCTGTCAGACATTTCAAGGGCTTCTTGTTCTATCGGGTCTAGATCTTGAGAGTTATTACCCTTTGGTGTTGTACTTTCTTGATTTTTCATATTTCTGGTATCTTTCCTTTGATGTTTAGTCATTGTGGCAAGGGATTTCTAGGATGGTGCTGGGGCTGCCAATTTGGCATGGCTGATTCAGTGTCTGCTCATTGCCCACTGGTGCCTCGGGTTTGTGGTCTCCTTGGGTCTTGGGCCTCTCCGGGGGGGATCCTCTCTGGTCGGCACACCCTCAGCCAGGCTGGGGATGCATTCCAGCAGTGGCAAGGCCTACCTGCTGGGTGGTGTGCTGGCACCGTGGGGTGCATGGTCTCCACAGATCTTGGGTCTCTCTGGTGGAGTGCCTCTCTGGTTGTCATGGACTCGGCCAGGCTGGGGATGGAGTCTGGTGGTGGCAAGGCTTACCTGCTTGGTCATGTGCTGGCACTGCGGGGTGCGTGGTTTCTGTGGATCTCGGGCCTCTCTGGTGGGACGCCTCTCTAGTTGGCATGCACTCAGCCAGGCTCAATGAATATCACATTTGATATATTCTAAGCTAAAGTTTTTTTCATGCCAGAGTTTATTTATAGAAATAGGACAAACATGAGTGTATATGTCTGTATTTGCTCACTCTACACCGCATTTCAGAGAAAAAGTTGCAGGCTATACCTGCTGTTCTGCACTTCACTCTTTTTCCAAATGTCATATGTTAACTTCCTTAACGTGTGTACAGAGAGAGCAGACGATGCATTTCAAACAATCCCCCTCATTGTCGATTTTACAACTAAGTTTGAGGCTGTATTAGAGTGTCTAATTTCTACTGTTCTGTAAGAAAAAAAGTGTGTGTGTGTGTGTGTGTGTGTGTGTGTGTGTGTGTGTGTGTGTGTGTGTGTGATGAGTTCTCCTTGCCTGGGGCATATTTATGCAGAGACTGTCAGGGATGTAGTAGCTGGGTGGTTCATGGCTCACCCATCACTGAGTGGGAGAAGATACCATGCAGCATCCAGCTCCCAGACCAGAACAGCTGACCTCTTTCCCCCGAATCCTGGAAGGTGTTCAAGGGTTCCTATTACTACATGGGGCCCTGTCCTACAAGCTCTCCATCTTCTGAGACCACCTTACAGGGCAATTCTGGAAGGATCTAGGGCGGTCCATGAGGGGAGCACTAGATCTGATTTGTGGAGCATCCTGGGTGTGGGAGGAGGAGCCAGGTGGTGAGACAAGGGTCACAAGATATTTCCTCCCTGGGGCCATCATGTTGCTTGAGATTCTACTCTTATAAATGTCCCCAGGTTAATAAGGCATTGTCCCCAATGAATGGCAGTGCAGCAGTAGGCAGGGGACAAGGGTTTGGGCTTGAGAGTCTGACAGACCAGGGTTCTTTTGAGCTCTGCAACTTGGGTTAGAGGTTTGCCCTCTCTATACCTCAGTTTGTCCTTCTGTCAAACGGGCATCATTCTTCTTCTGTCTGCTGTCACATGGGGCTCTGAATCAAAGAGTTGAGGGGAGGGTAGTGAGAAACCATCTGCATTGTGTTGCAGGGCAGCATCTGACACAAACCAGGTGCTCTTTATGTACAGTACCTGGCACACAGTAGACAGGATTTATATTGAGTATCAGGCACATTATGGAGAGTACCTGGTACAGAGTAGATATGCTTTATATAGTTGCCCAGCACACAGTAGGTGTGCTTCATACAGAGTACCCAACACATAGTAGAAGTACTTGACATAGTCTTTTGCACAGAGTAGAGTCCTGGCACACAGCAGTGCAAGAATGAGTGGCCAGACCCGTCCTTTCACTCCCCGTTTTGGGGGCTCCCTCCTCTGTTCCCCCTAAGGCCCTCATCCAACATCACATATCGAAAATGGGAAGTCTGAGCCCAGGAGGGCTGGCACTGCCCATAGTCACAGCACAGATAGTGCAGAAGGAGGATTCCACTCAGGGACACATGGCTCTTCCCTCTCCTGCCTGGACCCTGTCTGCTCATAGCCCCTCTTCTCCTTACCACCCACGCCTCCTCTCTGTCCTCCAAACTCTGATGCTGAGCCCATCCTCCAGATTTGCTCTTCCAACTAGGCTTTGTTTTCCCAGAATCTGACCCGAGTAATCATCCATGAGGCTGGGTTCTTTGCTGCTGCTTGTAGCAGTCATGTCTCCAACAGGGCCCTGCACTGCCCACAGGCAGGACTTGAACTCCTGTGTCTGGAGCTCAGAGGCTTCCTTCTCCCAGCCTCCTAATTCTGCACCGAGAAATGGTGCATGACATCCCCCTTGGACATGCGTGGTTGTCGAGAGCCGTCCTACTATAAGGAATGGCATGGGAACCTGAGGAGTGATACCCCTTGTTCTGCAGGCTACAGGGGGGTCCTATGTGTGTGGTACGGCTCCGTGGAATTTCTTGTTTGTTCACCTTTGGTTGCTTGACAAGGCTTCCCAGAATTAAACAGCCTAACCTTTTGGCTTAGTATGGCTTTGGGAAATTCCCTGGAGTTTCTCGAGGGACATGTTAAAAATTCATCAAAATTAATTGGTTTATTTTAAAAGCATTGTCAGTACTAAAGGTGTTTTTGATGCATGTTCCCGGTATGGGTTGGCTCCATTTAATTTTGTCATTAATCTTTCTTGTTAGTAATGTTTGCATTAACCCATTGTGGCTGTGGTCATGCTCTTCTACGTGTGGAATGAAGTTATTATGTTGGATTTCTGTCCACATCCCCCAGGGAGACGGTGGGTCCAAATGCAGTGGTTTTTACAACAAATTGATCACAACCAGTTACAGATTTCTTTGTTTGTCCCCATTCCCACAGTTTCATTTGATTTACCAAGAACATGTTCTTTCCTTAGTAATAATAAGAATGATATAGTGTGTCTTTGTTAGCTTGAGTAGGATCATTTAATTTTTCACTTTGTTCCTTGTGCTATTCCTGGAGTCTCTTGGCAGGGAGATGAGAAGTGTTATTATAAAGATAAATAAGTTAGATAGTAGAAAAACATAAATTTTGATATTAACAGGTTTTGTTTAAATCGGTCTGTAATATAAAATTTGCATTAATAACAAAATTTAATAGAGATTTATAGTTAAGTTTTATGATAAAAATCATGTTATAAATATTGTGATTTTGATCATAAATTAAAATGATTGTATTATATACAGTATAAACGATTGTTAAACATAACTAATCAATGTTATTAAAATCAAGTGTAGTAAGTATAAGTAAGATTGAAAAAGATTTAAATTGTAAGTTAAAAAGGTTAAGAATTATAGTTTAAACTAAAAGTCTGATGCTCTTTAAAGCCAAGCAAGCTGCTATTGTAGAGTTTCCTGGCCACAAGCCACAGGCTTTGGGGTGAACAATTGATGTGTGAGTAGGTGTTTTTGTCATAGCATGAGTGCCTTGGAAAGTTTTGACCTTTCTTTTTCAATAAAAAAATAAAAAATGTTTTGATTAAAAGATAAATCAATGTGTAAAAGATTAAGTAAAAACATATAAATAAAACAAGATTCATGTGGTCGTTGTCCACACTTGCACTAGACATCTGTGGTCCGTCTCTCCTTTTTCACTGAATCCACACCACCTATGCAGGTCCAACAAATCCTTCGGAGCTTCTGGGACAAGTCATGGCCTGGTCCTGCTCAACTGGCATCTGAATTTTCAAGTTCTTGGTTTTATCTGCTGCATCCTGGCCTTGGAAGGGCAGGGAAAGTTGTAATCTTTGGGGCTTAGACTCACCTGTGACCAACTTACCCCCCACCCCACAAGGGAGGTGCTAAGTTGAGGGTTCAGCACTTATGCTGTGTCACCCTGAGCTGGTTCCTCTGTACTCAGCTGGTCCCACCCCATGCTTTGGCCAGATGCCCAGGCAGGGATCAGGCAGCCAGGACTTTGGGTATTGGCTGGCCCAGCCCAGCCAGCCCATCCCAACCTCCCACAGCCTTCCCTAGATTAGAGGACAGAGGCGAACCTCCCAGGACAGAGACAGAAGAGGTTGTGTGAGAAGCTGCTCCTGACAGAAGGTGCCAGGCTGGGGGAAGTAGGACTGGGAAGTCCTGGCCTGGGATGGGAAGGGGCACTTCCCTAAGCTGGGATGTTCACAGGGAGTGAGCAAGCCCAGGAGACTGGTGATTTTTGGATAACTAAGCCTCTGGCAACCTCCCAGTGATTCAGGCTGGGCCTTTCTGAACTCTAATCAGTCTCTCTCTCTCTCCTCCACCCCTTTATCTCCCTGGGTCTCCCTCCCTGTTCTCAGCCCTTGTTGACCCAACTCTGAGTCCTCCCTGCCCTGCCCCCAGCACCCACCTTCCCTGCCCCTCTCCACTGTCCCTGGAGCTCCTGTGGCCCTGCCTTGGTCTCAGGTCCTCACCTTTGTCCCATCTGCTTGCAGGATGCTGCAGCTGAGCCTGTCCTGGCTGGGCCTGGGGCCAATGGCAGCCTCCCCATGGCTGCTCCTGCTGCTGGTTGGAGCCACCTGGCTCCTGGCTCGTGTCCTGTCCTGGACCTACACCTTCTATGACAACTCTCTCCGCCTCCAATGTTTCCCGCAGCCTCCGAAACGGGGATGGTTTTGGGGTCACTTGGGTTTGGTGAGTGTGGCAGCTGGACGGGTCTGGGGTGTCAGGGTGAATGGACTTCCCACGAGATCAGAAATGGGGCTCATTATTCTGGGGGTCAGGGGGTGGGCTGGGGTCCCAGCAGCAGAGAACTGAGGGAGGTGGCTCACTCTGTCATCTGCAGTGCCATCCCAAGTCTTTCTCACTCCTGGTCCCTGCACCCCAAACTTCTCTGGATCAATTTCCTGCCTGTCTTCCCCACATTAGTGCACCTCTGAGTTCTCATAGGGTGGGCTGCACAGAGCAGGGATCCCTGGGGGTTCCCACATTCTCCACTGCTGGACTTGAAGCCTCCTGCTGGGCAGTTTCTAGGGTATCCATCCTGCCTGGCACATTTCCTCACATCTGCCCACCTCTGGGCTGCCGTGTTCACTCAGAAATTAGCTATGGCCACACACACACATGGGCACAGTTGGGCCATAATGGAGCTGTGGCCAGTCTCCCACCCCCTCCCCTTTATAGGGCACCTTCCTCCTATCTTGCTCTTCCTCTCTAAGATGCACCAATGCGCCCTGTTGCCCAACCTGATAAAAGGTGTCCACTCACTTCCCCTTCCAGAAGATGCTTATGACTCCCTCTCCTCCTGACTTTGACCTATGATATTAACCTGCTGTCATTTGTAAAAGGATGATTGATAGGAGTGTGCACACGATCAGGGAGAGTGTGCACAGGATGCCCTATGCCCAGAACCAGGTTTGCAGAAGGTGACCATAGGTGGGAGCCGCCTTCATGATGGACAGTCAGAGCTCACCTCTGCTCCCCGAGGTCTGTAAAAGCTGCAAGGTCTCTGGTGTGCAGACCTTTTCCATGGGAGGAACTGGAGGTCATTTGGACCAACCAGGACATGATAGGATGTGGGGACCAGCCTCGGGGATAAGTTCTTAGGTCACACTGCTGCCCATAGTCCACCTCTGCAGCTGCCCCCAGGCTGGAACTACTCAGGCATGAGAAAATCCATTCTCTTGAGACAAGGTGGGACTCACTGCAGGCAGACAGTGTGTCTTCTCCTTCTGCCCTGGGTTGCACCTTTCATACTTACTGATGGCCGCAGGAGGGAAGGAGCAGCAGGAAGCAGAGATTCCCTCCATCTGTGCAGAATCCAGATATGTGTTCACTGCAGAGGCTGCACCAATTACTGAGGCTGCAGGGGGCACTTTCTAGCCTTCTACTGTGGAGGTGCACTAGACAGAATGTAAGTGTATTAGTCAGAATGCAGGTGTATTAGTCATATGTATATATGATGATACTTCAAAAAGCTCATGGAAAAATGGAATTATAAGATAATAGGAATCTTTCCTTGAACTTTTTGAAGAGTTCATTGTGTGTGTGTGTGTGTGTGTGTGTGTGTACGTGCGCAGGCAAGTGTACAGAGAGAGATAGAAGATGGGATTGTTTTTGAGAATTTGTCCACATGATTATGGAGGCTGAGAAGTCCCACGCCATGCTGACAACCAGAGAAGCCGGTGATGTGTCTCATTGTGAGTCGTAAAGACTGAGAACCTGGGGCTGCTGATATAAGTCCTGGAGTCCAGATGCTCCAGAACCTGGAGTTCTGATGTCTGAAAGTAGTAGGAGATGGATGTCCCAGCTCCAGAAGAGAGAGAAAATTCTCCCTTTCTCTGGCTTTATTTTCTACCTGGGTCCTCAAGGAATTGGATGATGCGCAACTCCACTGGGCAGGGTGGATCTTCCTGACCCAGTCTACGGATTCAAATGCTGCCCTCTGCTGCAAACACCCCCACAGACACAGACAGAAATAATGTTTTAAACTCATCAGGGCATCCCATAGCCCAGTCAAGTTGTCACCTACAATGAACCATCACAGGAGGTGACGATCTTGTCTTGCTTGCAGCTCACCCCCACAGAGCAGGGCATGAGGAACCTGACTCAGCTGGTGTCCACCTACCCTCAGGGGTTTATGGTCTGGATGGGCCCCTTTTTCCCTGCCATCAATTTATGCCACCCCGACATCATCCAGTCTGTCATCAATGCCTCAGGTACCCATTGGAGCTTGTGGTGGTGGGTGCCATGGCACACCTGACGGCTTCCACCCCCAAGATTCTGTGCAGTCCCTGCAGGACCCTGATCCCTCCTTCCCTCTCCTCTCTCAGCCATCTTCCTCTTTCTTGCATGTGTTCTCCAGTCCCCATCTCAATATCTCATCCCTGTATCTCCCTCTGTCTCCCTGCCCTGGTGTTCTGGGCACCTCTGAGGTACCAAAACACCTCAACCCAAGAACCTGTACAGGAGAACCCCCTGATATTGAGGATATGAACCTGGAAAGACATCCCCAGTGTCGTGTGGTCAGAAATGGGTTAGAATGAGATGGACTGCAACAGCTAAGGGCAGAAACAGGGTTTCTGATGGGGCAGGCTGGAAGGCTTCCTGGAGGCGGGGTTGTGGGAGCTGGGTTGGAATCATGAGTAGAAATTTTCAAAGCAGAGGGCAGGGGATGCAAGGGCATTGGAAGCATTTGAGGGCCCCCACCATGCCTGGCATCAGCCTTGTGCATTCCCAGACCCTGAGCAATGAGGAGGGCTTGGAGCTGGTGGGTGATCTGGTCTGCTCGTTCCACGATGTCCACCTCTGGTGGGTCAGTTTCTTTTACCCCGTTCTTTAGCTTGTCCACTGTATGTTCATTGCCCACCTGCTCCAGGTCCCAGAATCTTCAATAGAAGACCACAACCCAGCCTTTTCCCCCTACTCTCGCCTCTTCCATTTCCCATCCTTGGACAAGCCAGGGGAAGGGACAATGTCCCCCAGAGAGCATGGCTCTTTTTTTTTTTTTTTTTCCTTTTTGTCTTTTTTCGTGTCCGGCAACGGATCGCAACCCTCAGTGTCACGCCCGTACTGGACCGGGACCGGCAACGGGATCGCAACCCTCGGTGTTGCGGCCACACCTCGCTCAGCCAGTGAGTGGGAACCAGTCTGTATGTGGGATCCAAACCCTCGGTGGGAGTGCCGCCGTGCTCCCAAGCAGTGCACTGTAGCAGTGCGCCACCGGGCCGGCCCGAGAGCATGGCTCTTACACCAAACTGATGGATGACTCTGGGCAGGTCCCTAGCTCTCTCTGGCTGCTGAGGTCCCCTTCAGTTGTAAGAGGTAGAAGCTCAATCACGTGTGGTCTAAGCAAACCAAAGACATATATTGATTGTGGCCTCCAGGCACAGCTGGATCCAGGTCTGAAAGAATGTCATTAGGAACCTGTATCCTTCTCCCCTTTTGACTTTTCTCTGTGTTGTTTTTCCTCCAAGGAAGCCCTTTCCTCATGGTGCCAACGATGAGTTCCAAAAGCTCAGTTCCCATAGGAAAGCTCACCTTTCCCCCAGAGTTCTCATTAATGACCTATGATTCAGTTGAATTATCTTAGCCTGGGTCAAAGGACCAATTCCTCATCCAATCTCAGTGACTCTGGTTGCTCAGTTTTGGCCGAGAAGGGTATCCCAGAGCTATTGTATTAAGGAAACAAAACAAGTCAATGGTTAGGGACTAAGGCTCTACCTTCAGACAGACCTGAACTCGTATCTCAGGCACGCCACTTACTATCTGACAGACCATGGGTATCTCATTGTTCAGAGCCTCAGTTTCTTTATCTGAAAAATCAATGAAGGAGAACCCAGGTGAACGTGGTGGATCTAAATGGATAGAGATATTCCTGTCCTTTCCTGAGGGACCTGAACAGTCGTGTATCAAGGATGTGCAGAGGGAGCCCAAGATGAGGCTCAACACAGGGCCCGGGTCTGGGTCTCAGCCCTGCAGATCCTTCTCTCTGCCATTCTAGAAGAGCATGAATTGGGACCTCTTTGCTCTTATCCAGATTTGGAGCTGGGAAGAGGGTCCTCTGTACACACAGGGCCTGGTGAGCACCTTTGAGGTGTGTGCTGCTGGTGTGTGGCGCCCTGGCATGCATTCATCCACATCTTCCATCCCACCTACATCAAGCTCATGCTCTTTGCTCCAGGTAGACACTGCACTGGCCACAGGTTGCCCTCTCCTGAAGTCTCTGGGCTGCGTCCAGCTGGTTGGGTGACCCGAGTGGAGATGCGGGGGCTGTAGTGGAGAGCCACAGCCTCTGCCTCACCTGGTCTCCCATCTGTCTGACCTCTGCTTGTGTCTACTAATGTCCAAATGTGTCCATGTGACACCTGCTATGTGGCCGCATCTTGTCACATTTACATTTACACCAGGGTCCTGGTTACACCTGCCACATGTTACACCTGGATTACTCCTGGGATTACATGGAGATGGTCAAGTGTGGGCTATGCTGAGACAAAAGGCATTTGGGACATGTCAGGGTCTGTCTGGTTCTTGCGTGAGGTGCTGTTTGAGATTGCCTCATTCTGCAGCTTTTCTCCTCTGGGCTGTGTTTGGGCTCGTCTGAGGTCTGGGACCCAGAATTCATTTGTGAGTTGTCTGGGACATTACTTGAGTCTTTCTGAGGCAGGTCTTCAGGTATGTTTTGGTCACACCTAAGGCCCAGTCTGTATTACGTCTGAACTACATCTGAAACCTTGAAATCTTGACAGGAGCCCATCTGTGGGCATGCTGAGGTCATGTCACACCATCTTGAGTTCATATCAGAGTAGGTTGTGTCACGTCAGGGCTTGTTATGTATGTTGTGGCCATGTCAGGACATCTTAACATGTGTTAGTCCATGTCACATGTCTCAGGTCTATGTCATATGACATCAGAGATTACTGAGGCAGACAGGTTGTCCTAGGTCCCTGTAAAGGCATTTCGTAGAGTGCTGTGCTGTGCTTGCCTGCTGTTGAACATAGTGGACCATGTAGGAGCCATGTCCAGGTACGCTGGGGTGAGTCATGCCGTGTTAGGGTGCTCTGTTCTCTACTCTGCTTCTGCAGCCTGGTCTGGTTCCCGCTAATCCCCACCCTCCTCCCTGCTTGCTCTTCCCTTGGTCCCCTCCCTGCTATGCTGGGCTTGAAGCAGGGAGTGCAGACCCCTGGGTAGGAGCCTCCACCCAACACCCAAAGACCTTCCTCTCACCCTCTCCATGGCCCTTGATGGTCCTCGTTCCTGTCAGCTGCCATTGCACCCAAGGATATGACTTTGTACGGGTTCCTGAAACCGTGGCTTGGTGAGTAACTGAAGGTGAATGGGATTGGGGACAACCTTGGGAGACCAGGGGAAGGTGATGCCTTTGTCCACTACCCATGGCTGCCCCACTAGGAGATGGGCTGCTGCTGAGTGCCGGTGACAAGTGGATCCGCCACCGCCGCCTGCTGACACCCGCCTTCCACTTCAACATCCTGAAGCCCTATGTGAAGATTTTCAACCACAGTGTGAACGTCATGCACGTGAGTCACATGAACCCAGGGTCCCAGCTGGAGCCTTGTTAAGGGGGAGGGGTCTCAGACAGGTCAGTCTGGAATTAAGGCTCTGCTGAGTGACTTTGGGGTCATTTTCCTTCCTTTCCAAGCCTTGGTTTCTCATTTGTAAAATGGGGATAATAATCCCTACTTAATGAGCAGTCAAGACAAGGTAACATAGTCATGTCCAGGGCACATAGCAGGTGCACAGCAGCTGTCGGTTTCTAGGTTTGCCTCAGCAAATCCCTGGCATCTTGCAACCCTGTTGATGATAATGATGAAGATTGCATAGTAGCTATTACTGAAAAACAAACTACTCCGCAACCCACTGGTTTAAAGCGATAAGGGTTTATGATTGTCAACACATCCGTGTGGACAGTGGCTGGTTCTTTTTGTCCTGGATGGGGTCACTTATGGTGCATGATCAGCTGTGGGTCAGGTATGCAGCTTTGCTCATCCTGGCTCAAGTCTCTCACATGTTTAGGGCTTGTCCGGTTTCAGGCTAATCAGGAATGGCATCAGCTGGGACAAGTGACCTTGTCTCCCTTTGATTGTCTTTTTCCAGAGGCATCCGGGCATGTTCACATGGCAGAGACAGGGTCCCAGGGAGCGAGAGGAGCCTGCAGTGCCTCTGGGGTCTTAGGTTTATTAGAGTTACTACCTCATCTTTCAAACCACATTGTGTTGGCCAGAGAAACTCAGAAGTCCAACACAGAATCAAAGGGGATAAAACAGGCTCCATCTCTTAATGGATGTTGCTCACAAATCACATTGGCATGAATGTGGAAACTGGGAGAAGGGAAGAGCTCACAGAAAGGGTTTTATAAAGTGCCCAGGATTCTTTCTTACTTGCAAGCTGAAAAATTAGCTCGTTACTTTTTCATGGAGTCTGTCAGAAGACATGAAACCCCTGGGTGACAGACAAAGAGCAGTTCCTTACCCACAGCGTGGCAAGCATCCTGGGCTTCTGGTTGATTACTTTCCTTTCCCAAAGCCACCGAATCCCATGGACTTGATACAGGTGGGCGTCAATAGACGTCTGTTCATGTAGTGCACTGAATTACAGGGGAGAAGCACCAAGCTTAGGGCATCCACTTTTATACTAAGCAGAAACCAGCCTGATATCTATTCAGAGGAGAGATTACCGTATCTCCCAAGATTTTTTCTCTGCAAACACAACTGTGAGAAATGGCCCAGGTTAAGAACATTAGGATTTTGCATTCTTGTCATATCCAGCAAAGTGCCATGAGCACTACCTCTCCCCACACAGGGATCTATTTAATATCAATTTAAAACAATGAGGATGAGGTAAGGTAATATTTATTGAGCTTTCTTCATATACCAGAAATAATGCCATGTGCCAATTCCACAATATATGTTGCCTAGTTTAATTTTCACAGCATGGTGAGACAGAGGTTATTATTGCCCCATTACAGATGATGAAACTGATGTTCAGAGGGATCTTCCCCAAATTCACCCAGATAGAAAAAGAGGTAGTAGCGGTGGAGCAGGGATTCTAATCTGATTTATCTTACACCAAAGCAGGTCACTTTAATTGTTACTGATGATTTCACCAGTGGGGCCCAGAGGAGGGCATTGAGTTGACCAAAGTCACACAGAGCAGAGGAGGCAGAGCTGGTACTTGCACCCAGGTCTCCTGACTCCCAGCCTTGGGTTTTCACCTCCCAATGGTAACAGCTTCCACTCTCAACCATGCCTGGTTCTCCATGTTGATGGGTACCTGGGGCAGAAGACCAAGAGGCTGGTTCTGAGGGAGTCCATAATGGTGGTTGAAGTTGGGGAAGGGTCAGGGGAGCCAGGTCCCAGCCTCAGCTCTGTCCTGTTCTCTGGCCAGGCCAAGTGGCAGCGCCTGGCCTCACAGGGCAGTGCCCATCTGGACATGTTTGAGAACATCAGCCTCATGACCTTGGACAGTCTGCAGAAATGTGTCTTCAGCTTCGACAGCAACTGTCAGGAGTGAGTCCCTGGCCAGGGCCTGGGAACTTGACCCATGGATCCTAGGGAACAGGTAGGGGAGGGAGGGCTGGCCAGGGCAACCAGAAAAGCCTTCCTTGAGGAGGTGGGTCAGATCTGGGCACTGAAGGACAGGCAGGGCAGAGAGAAACTATAGTCTTGCAGGCAGGGAAAAATACTTAAGAAAAGGCAAAAAGTCTAGGATGAGCAGAGCATGGGCAACAGACAGTGGAATGAGGTGTAGACAGATCCTACATCTCAAGGACATAGAAAAACTGAGCAAAGGGATATGAACGTCATCATGAGGTTACCAGGCCAGTATGGAAGGTTTTTGCATTGATGATGGGCATGGTCAGAGCTGAGCTCTCCGAAGGACTGACATCATGTAGACTTGAAGTGGAGTTGACATTGGATGCAAAGAGCATAGAGTAAGTACTGGGCCTTGAACCAGTTGGAAACGCTTGAGGTCTGAGTTGTGTGGACTGAGATGGGATGGAGGGAAGAGAGTTTGGAGATACCCACTGTGTATCTGTGAGACCGTCTGTTTCTGGACACTCAGTCTCTTAATGGGAAGTAGCTCCAGCTGCTGGTGGGAGTTCCTTCACAGACTTCAGGTGTGTTACATTGTTGCCTCCTTTATGTCCTCATCCTGCAGGAAGCCCAGTGAGTATATTGCTGCCATCTTGGAGCTCAGCGCCCTTGTGGCAAAAAGGCAGCATCATCCCATCCTGCACGTGGACCTCCTGTACTATCTCACTGCTGACGGCCGGCGCTTCCTCAGGGACTGTCGCCTGGTGCACGACTTCACAGACGCCGTCATCCAGGAGAGGCGCCGCACCCTCCCCGATCAGGGTGTTGATGATTTCCTCAAGGCCAAGGCCAAGACCAAGACTTTGGACTTCATCGATGTGCTCCTGCTGAGCAAGGTGGGCTGCTCTGGGACCTGCATCCAAGGGGTAGAATGGATCTTTATGTCAAAGGTCAGATATAAAGAACTCAGACTTCATCCAGGGGGAACTGGGGAGCCCTGGAAACTATTGGAGAAAGGGAAGAACAGGTCAGAGACAGGTTCTAGAGATGACTCTGTGGAGTGCAGTCAGCAGGAGATTGCAAAGCTAAAAATGGTAAGAGCCTGAGATTTCCCTCTATTTATACCTTAACAAGTAAGTGTGCTACGTTATTTATATCTATATATCTGTATCTGTGTGTTTGTCTAGGTCTATGTCTTTGCTGACAGATTCACCAAACCCCTGCGTAAGAGCAACTCATTTATTACTTGCAGCAAGAACAGCAGCCAGAGTAGTATGGTAGCTCTGGCTCCCCATTTACAAATTGTTTGAGGGGAGCACAGTGTATTTCCTCTTTGTGTGGCAGAGTTTGCATTGTAAGAGAGCCACCCACATGATGAGTCTTAGAAATGATATAGAACCGATGGCACACATGCCCATTCTGCCATCCAGAAACAGAAACACACACACACACTGAGACATAGAGAGAACAATTTATTTATTTATTTATTTATTCATTCTTAAATCCTCTCCCATGAGAAGACAACGTCTATAGCTTTATAACCCAAATGTTTCCAGAGGAGATAAGATTCTGGGTCTACAACTTAGAATATGCACAAATATCTTTGGAGCAATACTTAATCTCTAACTTCTGAGACAAATTGCCATTCCACCATCCAGTAACCCAGGTTGCCAGTAATTTCTCATAAAAGTTCTCATCATGCAGAATCATGAAAATATTCATGGGTCATTGATTCCTCCCACCAGGGACAAAACAGGAGGCAAGGGACCCAGGGAGGAAGACGGTGGGGTGGGGCTCTGGTGATGGTGACCAGGAGAGTCTACGTGGAGAGTGAGCTTGGGTTTCATGAAGGATGATGGATATCCAGGGATTATCTTAGGTTAGACTCAGAATCCCACTGACATAGTGTGATATGCGGACATTGTCTTCTCTCCAGGATGAAGATGGGAAGGAGTTGTCAGATGAGGACATCAGAGCAGAGGCTGACACCTTCATGTTTGAGGGTGAGGGTCACAGTGTGGGACTACAGTGGGAACAGGGGTCTCTGCATCCCAGGGATGTGGCTGGTGGACCCTGAATCACTCAGTTCTGCCCATCTTCCCCTCCCCCATCCTCCCTGAGGCTCTCAATGGGAGGGCGCTGTCCACCCCTCCGGTGCTGAAGCAGCCCAGAGACCCAAGCCTGCCTGGCTACCCCTCAGGTCATGACACCACAGCCAGTGGACTCTCCTGGGTCCTGTACCACCTTGCAAAGCATCCGGAATACCAGGAGCGCTGCCGGCAGGAGGTGCGAGAGCTCCTGAGGGACCGCGAGCCTGAAGAGATTGAATGGTGAGTTCAGGTCCTCGTGGCCTGTTCCTGAGCCCCTTTCTTTGGCCCTGCTCCTTAGGTGGGGAAAGGAGGAAGTAGTTTTTGTTAATTCCACCACTGTGGCTTGGTGGGAAAAGAAGCAGAGCCCAGAGTCAGGGCCTGGTAACAGGGGAAAGGTTGCAGATATTTGGGAAACAAGATCTGTGCTCCTGAGAGAATTAGTGAATGCATGAGGGCAGATGATGCTATGCAGCACATACTCAGTAACTAAACTTCCTTCCAGTCCCTTCCCTTTCTCCCTATAATAGCATTTTTTTCAAACATCTTCACTCTCTGAATGCTTCCTCTTTTGTGCCCTAATTCCTTTCCTACTGACTAGTCCAGGGATTCACCAGGGACACTTGGGAGAAAGACTCATCCATGTCTTGTCAAGAACACCTCCATCATCCATCCACCCTGTCTTCATTCAGCAAACACTCCCACACAGCCTTCCCATCTGCAATTATTTACCCAGACCTGTCTGTGCTCTGGAGACATGAAAATGATGCAGCCCAGGCCTCTGTCTTCCAGGAGCTCCCAGCCGGGTGGGGGAACAGTCCCAGGTCAGGATGCTCCCAGAGAAGCAAGGCTGGGGTAAAAAAGTGTCTCAGAACAGACCTATGGTTACAAGAGGTGGCAAAGGCAGAGGGGGAAAGGGGTTAGGGAGAAATTAGGTAAGGGACACAAAGAATAATTACAATTGTAATAATGAACATCCCAATACTGACTCAATCATTACATATTGTACACAAAACTGATAGTCAACACTGTTCCCTAAAAACATGTATAAACAGTTATGTTACAATTAAAAAAAGTGTCTCACTTGAGGTCCTTAATGATGGTCAATAGATATTTGGGGGCAGTTGAACAACAGTGCTGTAGATCAGGAAGAGAGTTTAGGCAAATGTGTAGAGAAGAGAGAACAGAAAAGATGGACCGGGGAAGGAGAGGGGGAGGTCTGTGTGAAAGTGGGGAGAGGGTCATAGAGAGAGACAGAAGGGGGAGGAACGAGGAGAGAGAGAGAGATAGAGGGAGGGACAGAGTCATGATGAGATGATGAAACTGGAGGTGGCAGCAGAGGCTGGCTGAGGAAGTCTTGCAAAGCAATAGTAATGGCTTGGATGTTAACCTAGGGAAATGGGGAGCCATGGGCAGGGTTTAGCAGGGGAGGGACAGGTCAGATTTGGGTAGTAGAAGGATCTTCCTAGAACTAGTGTGGAGGGCATACTGGAGAGCACAAGCTGTAGACAGATGGCACAGGTAGGGGATTCTGAGGACTGAGCCAGGCAGAGGCTGGGGGATGGAGAGGAGGCTTTGGAAGGGACAGGCATTTTGGGAGTAGTGTCCTCCCCTCCAAGCCTTTGCTCTGCACAACAGTCCTGTGAGGCAGAGAAGCATTTTTACACTTGGAAAAATCAAAACTTCATGAAAAATTATGCACTTGTAAAAAGAAGTGTACCAAAGAATTTAGGATAAAATGAACTTTCTTCTTAAGCCCCTCCCCAGCAGTGATTAAGGTCAGTGGTTTGCTGTGTTTCTTTCCAGGAAATGGCTATCCTCATGCCCACATTTATATAAACACACACTCTTTTTCTGCACAAATGAGAGTACATAAAATAGACACAGGTCTGCACACCAACAATATAATTTTGCGATATTTTCTTTTATGTTTATCATAGCATGACTTTTGAAAAATTGGCTTGTTTTAAAATTTGATTTTAATTTTTTGTTGACAAATTTTAATTATATATATTTCTGGTGTACAATGTGATAATATATGTATACAATATGGAATGATTAAATTAAGCAAATGCACATGTCCATGTCTTCACATAGTTATAATTTTTGTAGGGATAACCTTTGAAATTTACTGTCTTAGCAATTTTTTTTTTCCCCTTTTTGTCTTTTTTCGTGACCGGTAATGGGATCGCAACCCTCAGTGTTGCGCCCGCACCGTGCTCAACCAGTGAGCGGACCGGTCCATGTATGGGATCCGAACCCTCGGCGGGAGTGCCGCCACACTCCCAAGCACTGCACTCTACCGAGTGCGCCACCGGGCTGGACCTACTGTCTTAGCAATTTTGAAAAATGATTATTTCCTGTGGTCACTATGTTGTGCAATAAACCTAAAAAACTTACATCTCTTCTCTAACTCAACTTATACTCATTGACCATCATCTTCACATTTCCCACCCCATATATATCCTGTGGTTGTAACCACCATTCTAGCCTCTGTTTCTACGAGTTTGACTGTTTTACATGCCACAGATGAGTAAGATCATGCAGTATTTGTCTTGGTGTATCTGGCTTAATTCACTTAGCATAATGATCTCCAGGTTCATCCATATCACTGCAAATGACAGAATTTTCTTCTTTTTTAAAGGGGTAATTAGTATTCCATTTGTGTGTATACCACATGAAAAATGAGTTTTGAATTACAAAAACAGTGATGAGAACTAGTTCTTGATGCCCTGAATGAGACATTGCAGAGAAGACTTGGGTTATCCTTGACATTCCTCCCCCCCCAACCTGATCTCCTCACTTCCTTCCAAGAGGTCTCCAGAGCTATCAGTTTGCCATCTATCTATCTATCTATCTGCCTATCTATCTATAATCTATCTAATCTCCATATATATGTTCATATACTTTTTTCCCTTTGGCATTGACATACGTAATTTTTTTATAACATTTTGTCCACTCAGCAGTGTGTCTTACAGCACTTTTTTTACAGGCTGCATGGATTCCATATTTTTCCCCCCTTTTTGTCTCTTTTACTGACCAGTAACGGGATCGCAACCCTCGGTGTTGCGCCCGTACTGGGGACCAGCAACAGGATCGCAACCCTTGGTGTTGCGCCCGCACCGTGCTCAGCCAGTGAGTGGGAACCGGTCTCCACATGGGATCCGAACCCTCGGCGGGAGCACCGCTGCGCTCCCAAGTGGCGCACTCTCCAGTGTGCCACCGGGCCAGCCCATGGATTCCATATTTTATCCAGCTCATCTCATGTTGAAGACATGTGTCTGGTTATAATAGATAGTGTCAATTTACCTTCCAGACTCTGTACTGATTTACATTCCAGCTTGCAGTGTGTGATAGGAAAAACGATCCCTATTTCCTCCCTTTTGTCAGCTGTATGGTATTCTATCATGTGTATGTACCATAATTTATCTAAACAACTTACCTCTGATTTATATTTGGTTTGTTTCCAGACTTTTGCTAAATTAAACATGGCTTGGTCAGCATGTGTGTACGGTGACCGTTACTTACATGCATGTGTGAGCATCTCTGCAGGACAGATTCCCAGAAGCGCAACTGCTCAATCAAAGACCATTTTTTATTGCATTACATGATTTTAAAAATGACTGCAAATCCATTCCTGTTAGCTGAGCCTGATAGCACCAGCTTCAGATAACTTTCTCAGTAACACTATTGTATTACTCGATTTTAAATCTTTGCTGATCTTTGTATTTCTTCTAACACATGTTTCCTTAAGTAAGAGTGAGATTGAGCATCTCTTGTTCATGTTGATAATGAACCACTGGTTTTCTTTCCATGTGAGTGTTCGTCTTACATTCTTTGCTCTCTTTTGGGGTCCTCTTTTTAAAAATATTTACTTATTACAACGCGAATTAAAAATCATCTTTTTTTCTGTCTTGTGTTGCTAAGGATTGCCTTTAGACTTTTGGGGTACTTTTGGTTAATTTCTATTAAGTCAAATTTGTCCACATTTTCTTTTACCTACATAGTATCTACACACTGTACACTTCTCGGGGTTTAGTGTGACTTCCTTTAGCAGATGTGAAGTTTTCACTTATTCACGTGTCTGTCTCTGAGCTCTCTCTTTGGTCCCATGTGTCTTTTTTCCCGTTCTTGCCTCAGTGGCACACGATTTGTATGACTGCACCTTCGTAATAGGTCCTAATATCTGGTAGAATGAGTTCTCTCTCTCTTCAATCTTTTATTTTCAAATTAACCGAACTCTTCAGTATCTTTTATTCTTCCAGAAATATTTTAGAAGAAGTTCATCAAGTTTCAAAAAAAAAATCAGGTTGATTTTCATTTGAAGTGAATATATTCTATTGGTGAGTTTGAATATATGATTGATTTGTGGAAAATAGATTACTTCAAAATATTGACACATACTATCCCATAGTGTGGAGTGGATACCCATCTATTCAAGTAATCTTTCATCTTTTAATAGAGTTTAAATATTTGCTCAGAGATGTTGTGCCTGTTCTGTTAAAGTAACCCTTAGCTGCTTGTGTTGTAGTGGTGTATTGTATCTTTCATTTGGATTGAAGGAAATTTACATATTCATTTGGAGTAGAGAGATTTCATGTTTCCTAAATATAATCCAGGTGTTTTATACTATTAGTATTACCATCTTTTTTATTATCTTTTCCAACTGGCTTTTATTTCTAAGTAGAAAAACTAAAGATTTATGGTAATAAAATTTCCCACCATACACATAGTGCCTGCTAAAGATGGCATCTTATATCAAAAGAAAAATATATAGATCATTTTGTAAAAGCTCCTTAAATAACTGGGAGGTTGCTTGGGAAAAATTCTACTCAACCTGCTTCTCATGTCTTATAACAAGGTAATATCTAGATGAATCAAGTATTTCAATTTTTATTTTTATTTTTTTTCCTTTTTGTCTTTTTTCGTGTCTGGCAACGTGATGGCAACCCTCGGTGTTGTGCCCACACCTCGCTCAGCCAGTGAGCGGGAACCGGTCTGTATGTGGGATCCGAACCCTCGGCGGGAGCACTGCTGTGCTCCCAAGCGGCGCCCTGTAGCAGTGCGCCACCGGGCCGGCCCAAGTATTCCAATTTTTTAAAAAGGGAGTCCTATCAGCTCTAGCAGAAACCATGGGAAAATTATTTTATAGCTCCAGAGTAGAGAAAAACCTATTTTTCCACAAACCTCAGGAGATATACAAGGAGAGATTGATATAATGTTAAATGAAAAAAGATACAGACCAGTGTGTAGTATATAGTATGCTGCTTTATAATTTTTATGACTTAATTTTGATTTTTTTAGTTTTTTCACACTTTTTTTTATTGTGGTAAAACATGTATAACATAAGGATTGCCATTTTAAGCCTGTTAGAACATGCATTGCATGGAATTAATTATATTCACAATGCTGTGCAACCACCACCTCTATTTCCATAACTTCTGTTTCTCCTAAACATACGCTCAGTACCCGTTAAGTAATAACACGTTATTATTCCTTCCCTTGTCGTTTCTGGTAACCTGTAATTTACTTCTGTCTCTGAATTTTTTTAAAAAATTTTAATTTATTTTTTATTAATTGACCCATAGTAATTATAGATATTTATGGAGTACAATATTATATTTGGGTACATTTGTACAGTGTGCCATGATCATATCAGTGCATTTATCCTATCTATCACTTCAAAAGTAGCTCTAAAAAGATAAATTAAAAAGTAGTTATAACCTAGACAACCTGTGAAGAGGGGAAGTGGGTACTGTTGGGCCATGGGGATGGTGACGTTTTATAGTTTTCAAATTTTGAACCAGTTAACCATATCAGCTATTAAAGTTTAAACAGCTACTCCTTCGAAATAAAGGTTAAAGAAACAAATTCAGTCCCTTACTGTATCTTCAATATTTGTAAGAATTTTGCAATGAATTCTCCTGTGCTTTCTAAGTATAAAATCACTATCTGTCAAATAATACATTTACCCCACATTCCAACTTGCATTACTCTCCTTTTTTTCCTTGTCTAATTGCATTTGCTATTATCTCTAGTACAATGATAAATAAGAGCAAAACATTGAATTTCTTTAATTTTTTGCTTAGTCATTTACATTTCGATTTTGCTTTCTGGCCATAAGAATATTTGTTTTTAAGCAAATTTATTAACTCTTTCTGGTTGATGTTTTGCTCAGAAAACATTTCTTTAAAAAATGAGCTAGGTTTTCTCTGATACTTTTCTGATTCTTGCTTTCTAATTTTTTTCTGCACTTTTATTCTCAAACATTTGATCCATCTGGAGTTCATTTTGTTATAGGTAGAAAAGGTCTCACTGGGCAACAGATGGGCTGGAAGACTGTTTTGGAACTCTGGATAATTCTTGGGGGGGCTGGGACGGTTTCATAGGGATGACCTGGCGGAGCTGCCCTTCCTGACCATGTGCCTCAAGGAGAGTCTGCGCCTTCATCCCCCGGTCACAGTCATATCTCGCCGCTGTACCCAGGACGTTGAGCTCCCAGAAGGCCGCGTCATTCCCAAAGGTGCCCACAACGCGAGTGGGATGAGGCTCCTGGGTTGGAAGAGGGGCCCTTCAGGCTCTGGGGCCTTGTCCTGACTGCTCCCTCCTGTCCCACAGGTGTCACTTGCCTCCTCAGTATTTTCGGGACCCACCACAACCCAGCTGTGTGGCTGGACCCTGAGGTGCTGTCTTCCCCTCCCCGTCCTTGTCGATTCCAGGGGCTCTAGGGGAGGGGCAGTGTTTTAACTTGGGAAATGAGACATCACCTCCCCCACCACACACATCTGTCCCTCCAAGGCTGGCTGTCCTGGGAGACCCCACCCAGCAACTCTGTCTTGTTCTCCCCTCCAGGTCTATGACTCCTTCCGCTTCGACCCTGAAAACGTCAAGGACAGGTCACCTCTGGCTTTTATTCCCTTCTCTGCAGGGCCCAGGTGAGGCCAGCAAGCTTCTGGGTGGGGATGGGGTGATGGAGGTGGGGGTCTGGGCACGACAGTGGAGAAGGGCACAGGGAGGGGTGAAGTTGTAGATGGTCAGAGTTCCAGCTCTCCTTCCCTCCCATCCTCCAGAGGTTATGGGCAAAGTTCTGGGGATGGAGCTTGGGTGGGTAAGTCCAGGAGGGGTCTGTGGTGTGCTCCACGCCCCCACCCCATATCTGTTATTCTGAGTTGGGGGCTGGATTCTGGGCCAGGCTCAAGGGATACAGAAGCCCACGTCGGGGCCCCAGGCACACTTAACCCCCTCTGTGCCCCTCAGGGTGAGCAGGTTGGGGGTGGGGGTCCTAGTCCAGGTTTCAGGTACGATGGGGCCCCGGGGGTCCTTCGCGCAAACAGAGCCCCCATCTCGGCCCCCAGGAACTGCATCGGACAGACGTTCGCCATGGCTGAGATGAAGGTGGCCCTGGCGCTCACGCAGCTGCGCTTCCGCGTCCTGCCCGACGACGAGGAGCCTCGTAGGACGCCAGAGCTGATCCTGCGCGCGGAGGGCGGACTGTGGCTGAGGGTGGAGCCGCTGAGCGCGGGCCCGCAGTGATGCACCCACCACCCCCTGGCCTGGGAACCCACACCGAGCCCACTCACCTACCTTTGCAGATTCCCAGGAATAAAATTGTGCTGTCGCCTCTGCCTGAGCTTCACCTAGAGCCAGCAGGGGGCGCTGGGGGACTGGGAGAATTTAGGGAGTGGGCTTGGGTCGGTGGAGGTGGGGCTGGAGTCTCTGATCCCAAGACCCTGACAGCCTCTCTGGCTGAGCACAGGGTCCCCACCCTGATGGCAGTTCTCCCAGATTCCAGGTGTGGACTTTATCCTGTGGTTAGTAGGGAGCCATGGGAGGTGTTTGAGCAGAAGAAGGATCAGAGTTAAGGACGGATTTAAGGAGTAAGACTGAGGCTCTGAGTGAAGGAGGAAAACCCGTGGAGACAGAACCATTCGTCTGTGCTGTGGGTGTCTCCCAAGAAAGGCCAAGGACGGCCCAGAACACAGGGGAGGAGGCCTGCAGCTTCCATCCTGCACCCTCTCCAGGATTCTAAGTTCCCTTCGTGCTCTTGCCAACGTCCCACCTCTGTCAGGTCTCCCTGTGACCTCCATCCCCTACCTTTAGGGAGTCCCCTCCCTACTCCCTTCTGGGCCCCCTGGTGCTGCTCAGGCGGCATGGACAACCAATACTGGGTGAGCACACAGTGTCCACCAGTTGCCCTCACAAGAGTGTCAGGGGGAGGCCTCATCCCCCACATTTCACCTCCAGGTTCCTCGTTCATTCCCATCACAGGCCACACTGTCCCATCTTAGGGTGAGTTGGGGATAGAACCATCCTATTTGATACTTGAAATTCAAGGCCACACTATTGGAAACAAAAGTCACCCTTAACAGCATGAGATCTGGAGCCAGACTACTTGGGCTCATCTCAGCTCTGCTGTGTGACTTGGGTAAGTTACTGTCCCTCTCAGTGCCTCAGTTTCCTCAACCATATTGTTGCAGAGAACCCTGAGAATTTTCTATTTGTTCAACCTTTCCTTTTTTCCAGTTGAGAAACCACTTTAGAAATTTTACGCTTGGCTTTGGCTCCAGCAACTTAGCTTGCCTGCTCATGTACCCACCTGTGTCCATGTGTTAATGTCTTTAACTGTGGTCCTATGTAACATAATAATGAGGCATGGTAAATATATGCCATCCTGTGTCTCTGACCTTTATTGTGTTACTTGTCCTAGTACTAGTTATAGGACTGGTATCTGCCACCCCAAGAGATTGCACTAACATAGAAAAGTTTCTCCTGGCACTCCTATACCTCATGTCAGTGGGGTGTTTTATAGCAGTCTCATCAAGTCAGTGTACACTTTAGGTTTTTGCCCCCCCCAAAAAAAAATTCCTAAACGTGAAGATATTTTGGTGCCTCAGTTTGTGTGGTCTTGATTAGTACAAGGAAAGAATTGATATTAGGAAAGAATATCTCCCAGCCCATCTGCGGAGCCACTCCTCTGCAGTCAATGATATCACACTTTGATTATTTTCAAAAAGTGGCAGCCAACGGCTTTGGGTCCAAAGTGGAACCTTTTGAACTCAAAAAGTTTTGTGAATTAGATTGGCTCACTTTCAGGGTGGGTTGGCTACCTTATGGGACCATAGATCTCCCTGTAGCTCGCCAGATGCAAGACTATTGTCTCAAGGACCCCCCCACCCAGACATCCAGGCCAACTTCTCTATATCATGGTCTAGATTCAAGTTGTAACTGAGATGCCATCCTGGTTAAAACAATGTCTCCAGCCACGGCATCATAAGGGGGGACCCCAGTCTGAAAAACCCCATTCCCTATGACATTTTGGCTAGTAAGGGAAAATTCTCCTAACTAAACCACTCCCTTCAGTAGGTTCTTCCAGAGAAGCCATCTAGGATCTTCCACCCATGGTCCTGCAGGACACCCCTGAGGATCCTATTGACCTTCCTTCCACCGTCCCTGTTGCCCCAAGGCCCCCCCCTTATCTGCCCTCACCAGACTCCGCAGAGCTTCTCAGTCCCCAACATATTTGGAGTGGTACCCCTTACCAGCCAGATCACACTTCTTCCACTTCTCCTGCTCCCTCCTCTACTCTTCCCTTGCCCACACTTTACTCCCATTTGGCAGGCTCCCCTCCCACTGGGGACCCCACAAGATCAAGCCCCATTCATGGTGTATGCCCCCTTCTCCACTAGTGGTCTTTATAACTGGAAGAACCAGAATCTTTCCTTGTCTGAGAAACCCCAAGGTCTCATCCCCCTTTTGGAGACTGTGTTCTTTACCCATCAGCCCACCTGGGATGATGGCCAGCAACTCCTGCAGTCCCTCTTCACTTCTGAGGAACGTGAGCGCATTTGCCGTGAGGCATTAAAGCCTATTGTGGGCAGGGATGGACAACCTTCTGATGATTCTATCCATCTCGAGCATGTATTCCCACTTAGCTGGCATAATTGGGACCCCAACACTAATCAGGGTAAGGAGGCCCTTCATCAGTATCACCAGACTCTCCTTAAGGGACTCTGTGCAGCCACCCAGAGACCCACAAACCTTTCAAAGGTGAACAAAACAATACAGGGTTGAGGAAAGAAGATTAAAGAGTGCGAGGAGACAGAAATGGAGTGGAAGGCGCCGGACCGGCCCAACTCTGTGAGCTCTGTGAGTCACCCCCAGCCCAGCCCCATTTGCGGGGTGAAGCCCGACTGCTCCCCGCCCACCAGGCTCCTGCCTACCACACCAAGCCAGGTGCCCGCAACAGAGCTGCCTCCATTTTATCGGGTGGGGGCGGAGATGGCCGGCTTAGTGCAGGCAGGCCAGCCATCTCTGCTTGGCGTGGCTCCTAACTGAGATGTGCCATTTGCTTACCTCGACACGGGTCACCCTGGGGCCTGTGGACCGGCCTACAATCCCACTCTCCCCGCGGATCTCTGATGGGGCTGGTAGTGTGGGGAACCCCCGGCCAGCGTTGGGAGTGCAGGGAAGAGGAGCCCACCGAGATCATCTCTCCACCACACCCTGGGTGTCGGCCCCAGGTAAACTCCCTGTTTCCGGGAGGCAGATTCCATCTCTGGGGGCCTCAGTTTGGGAAAACCCCTAACTGATTTCTGGTGGGGAGAGGGGAGCCCAGAGTGCTCTGGAGCTAGATTGAAGCTACTGGAGAGCTCTCCCGGAGGGCCGACCTGTGCTAGGGGGAGTCAAAGAGGAACTGTGTGCTGAGGGACCCTTCCCCGAGGAGTTCACACCCGGCAGTGGGAGAGACTGGACACCTGCTGGGCAGGGGGGAGCAGGGCACAACTTTGATGTCTCAACTGAAAGACAAGGTTTGTAGAAGACACGCCTCAGCCCAGTTCTGAGCACACAGAGTGGGGAGAGGTCCGGAAAAAGGAGGCGGAGTCTCAGAAATAAATAAAGAAAGAAAGAACAATAATTACACACCCTGAAGGAACCCTTTGCAAGGCTCAACAGCCCCATCTAGTGTACACAGAGTGTGAAAACGCCCCGATAGCGAGGTGCAGAACACACATACCTTACGGGACTTGAATCAGAGGTCCAAGATTCGAGTGAAAATCCCTGACAAAATGAACAAACACCCAAAAAGAGATACCAGAAATGCAAAAANTTTTTTATTATCTTTTCCAACTGGCTTTTATTTCTAAGTAGAAAAACTAAAGATTTATGGTGATAAATTTTCCCCCCATACACATAGTGCCTGCTAAAGATGGCATCTTATATCAAAAGAAAAATATATAGATCATTTTGTAAAAGCTCTTTAAACAACTGGGAGGTTTCTTGGAAAAAAGTCAACTCAACTTGCTTCTCATGTCTTATAAAAAGGTAATATCTAGATGAATCAAGTATTTCAATTTTTTAAAAAGGGAGTCTAATCAGCTCTCGCAGAAGCCATGGGAAAATTATTTTATAGCTCCAGAGTAGGGAAAAAACCTATTTTGCCACAAATCTCAGGAGATATACAAGGAGAGATTGATATAATGTTAAATGAAAAAAGATACAGACCAGTG